AATTTTAGAATGCAAGGCTGTTGAAACATGCGAATCATTAGATTGAGGGGTCTGTTGTGAGGGCTCTTACTTCGCATAACTTTACGAGAACGTCCGCAGCCTTATAGAGAAAAATAAAGATATTTTCAGAGTCGCACATCTGGGAGCTGTAGGTTGTGGCCCTGAAGCAAAATTTTAAAAGTTAAAAAGCTAAAAATCATCAAACAATTCTATTCATCAATAGATGGCGTGGTGCGTATAAATTAAATCACGTAGTGTGAATCATAGGTTATTCCCTAAGGGCGCAGTGGGCCTAATCGTAGAACATCGTCTTCCGACACCGAGATTCGGGTCGGTCCCAGCTGGCTGGACTTATTTTCCCTTTTTCCTTTTTTCCTGTTTACTACCTCTTTAGTTACTGTATTTATTTTTAATTTCTTACTTTTTAATTTTTTCTTTCTTATATTTAGGAACAGTAGCCTCTAGGTTTCTTAGGGTTATTTTAGCTAATTTGTGTTATAATTTTGCGCTACATTAAAAGTTTCATGGTTTCAGATCACCATTAGAAATATTTTTTTTTAAATTGTTTTTAAAACTACGACTACAGTTGATTAAACGGACGGTGGCGCATCACGCGCACGATCGTGAGACATGTTGCGGCAAACCACTTTCAGGACAAGGGGTAGCAGACGAGGGTATTTCTTATTTATTCATTTAAAAGAAAAGGATTGTAATATTCTTATAAACGACATATAGTTTCAGTTATAATATGGATAAATTTGCCCTAAAATGAATATCGTTCGGTTAAATAGCATTTAGGTATAAATATAATTGCACTTTTGTGATTAGCCCTCGGTAATTTACCTGCAAAATAAAAATGCAAATACGCAACTTTTTCAGGGTGGCAGCACGGTCGCGGGTGTCATGGCGCCGTTCAAATTTCGTAGCGTTGATGTGTAAATAATTAATTAAGTATCTGGTGACAAATACATGTGGGTATAGACGATTTGTTATACAGTAAGTACAGTTGTATGCAGTAAAATCCTAGAGGCTACTGTCCCTTTAATGTCTTTTTATTTTGATTTCTTATTATTTTTTACTGTTTGGGATGGCATGGCATGGCATGGCATGGCATGTCATGGGATGGCATGGGATGGCATGAGATGCGATGAGATGGGATGGGATGGGATACGGTGCGATGGGATGGGATGGGATGGCATGGAATGGGATGGATGGATGGATGCAGGGATGGATGCATGGATAGATAGATAGTTAAAAATTTTTGGGTATTTTCCTTTCAACCAAACGGTCACCAACTGAGTAACGCCACTGATTTCCCCGAGCAACGCCGGGTATCCCGCTAGACGATCTGCAGCTCGGATATCCACGCGAAGCGCGCAAACGCTGCCTAGCGGCGAACTTAGACGTAATTCGCAGCCCTTTCTCTAGGAGCTATTAGCTTCAACGGGTCCTAGTATACGCCAAAGCCGTATAATCGGTGCGTTCAGCAGTTCTGGCCATTGCACGACGGCTTTCAGTACCCAGGTAGGTAGGCATTTCCTACAAATGCTCGTACAAAATGTTTGGCTAGTCAGCGCGCTTTCTTTCTTGTCAAAAACGGACTTTTACTTTTTTTAACATCAGTGGACATGAGTGCACATGAGTGTAGTACATATTGCGTCCAATAGATGGCGTAACGACGCTATATCTATAGCATTGGCGATTATTTTTCCGGTTAACGCGTCAGCGCTCGCTATGCGTATTGGGAATGCTTGCGTCGGTGTTGTTTACTGTTAACTCGACTAGGCTTACGTTAACTCGACTAGGTTTACTGTTGTTACTCGACTAGGTCTACACAACAAATTGTATTTACACAGGTCCTCTAACCCTAGCAAATACCGTTTCTTGCAGCTAGTAGTAGTACTAGCTCTAGTACGTATATACTATATAGTATTACTAGTACTACTAGTAGCTCTAGTACTATACTCTATAGTATAGTACTATTAGTAGTAACTTAGTCTAGTACTACTACTAGTACTTAGTCTAGTAACTTGACCAGGCTGTGTGATCGACTAACGTCAATATAGGGTATCTAACCCTAGCAATACCGTTTCTTGAAGCTAGTAGTCTAGTA